AGTTGAGGCAGAACATAGCCACTGATAACCTTTCAGATGATTCACTGCAAAGCAGCTCAATGAAGGACCAAATCCAGAGAAAGCTGCATTCCAATTCTAGGCATGCTTACTCAGAAATAAGTCCCACTGAGTTCAGTTGGGCTTACTGCAAAAACAAACCAACCAATGATGGTATTTTAGCCTCCTGGTGCCATCCTAAACACACCTGCTAGAGAGAATGTGCCATTAAACTCTTTGGGGCTTATTTGTAAGTAAACATACATAGGATTGCAGTATGTTCCACAGTTCCCACAGTACAGTGCGGTGAAGAAAGCAAACACAGTTCAGTTCCTGATCAGCCTCAAAACTCATTCTGTCATATACCTTACAGGGTTTTCGTGAAGAAAAAATGTGGAGTGGACAACAATACAGTAGTACCTTGGTTTTCTAACAGAATGCGTTCCGGGAGACCTTTCAACCACCGGAACCGTTCGAAAACCGAAGTGTGGCTTCCAATTAGCTGCAGGAGTGTCCTGCAGCCAATCAGAAGCAGCGCCGGATGTTCAGCTTCCAAAAATTCCGAAGCTCCTGCAACCAATCAGAGGCCCCGTTGGACATTCGGGTTCCAAAGAATGTTCGCAAACCAGAACACTCACTTTGTGGTGTTCGGGAGCCAAACAGATAACTACCAAGGCGTTCAGGATCCAAGGTATGACTGCATATGCAAATCATGTTGACTGTGTTGTGAAGGACCTATTCAAGCTACCTACAACTCTCCAACTTCCAAAGTTTTCATTAAAGCCGCTTGTCATTGAACACATGAATCCACGGTTTTTCTTCTTCCTTATTAACAACACCAGTAACTATGGTTCACCTGGTCAGCTAGTTAGGTTCTATTGGGGTGGTCAACTTTTTGCAGCTTTCTGCTCCTATGAATTTCACATCAGCTGGATCTGCTAACACTTGTAGATGATCGTGAATGATGAATAACATTTCATGTGCTTCCTTCTGCATACCAAGCTTCTGTTTAATGCAACAGGTGTGTGTTGGTTTTGTTCTGGCCACCTGGCTTTCATAGCATCACTAAAGTAGAGGATTAAATCTCTAGACGGGAAGGGGGAGGGTGCAGCTGCCTGTGTAGTCTTTTAGGACATATGACTCTGCCTCATGAGGAGTTCTATGAAACACAAAAGCTTGCAAACTCCAACCCCGTGCTCAGCTGATCCAACTACAGAGAAAGTTTTACGAGCTCTATAACTTCCTGAATCACGGTTACTCCGTCATTCTGTTCCAATCATTTTTCAAGGCTTCAAGTGCTGCCATATATTTGAGCAAACCTTTTTCAAAAGAAGACAGGAGAATTCGAGTGGCATTTTGCCTGTCAACCTTCTTCACAAATGCCAACGAACTGGAGGTTGGGAATCTCTAGGACAATGAACCCGTGTGTGCAAGCAAGTTATCACCAAGGGCATTTTCTCTCTCTAAAAAAACTCAAAATGGATGTTTTGTTCCTGCAACTTTTTGCTGTTTGGCTCCTGGGGGTCTGCCCTCGCAGGTTACTTTTGACAAACACCGAGATGAGAGCAGCAACAACTTTTAGGTGTAACCCTTCTTCCAAAGTCCCATTTCGGAAACCTTTTAAAAATGCGGTCCATAGTTTTCAAAGTTAGGGAGAGAGAGGCAATTAAGACAAAGATTCCCATAATCTCTCTTAAAGGTAAAGGTAAAGGGACCCCTGACCATTAGGTCCAGTCATGACCGACTCTGGGGTTGCAGCGCTCATCTCGCTTTATTGGCCGAGGGAGCCGGCGTACAGCTTTCGGGTCATGTAGCCAGCATGACTAAGCTGCTTCTGGAGAACCAGAGCAGCGCACGGAAACGCCGTTTACCTTCCCGCCAGAGCAGTACCTATTTATCTACTTGCACTTCGTGCTTTTGAACTGCTAGGTTGGCAGGAGCAGGGACTGAGCAACGGGAGCTCACCCCGTTGCGGGGATTCGAACCGCTGACCTTCTGATCGGCAAGTCCTAGGCTCTGTGGTTTAACCCACAGCACCACCCGCGTCCCTTATAATCTCTCTTGAGGGCTGACAATTATCATCTCTGTTCTCTTACCCCCAGTCTTCTCTAACATGGTGGCGTCCATATTGTGTTGGACTACAGCACGCACCATCCATGAATCAGCCACATTAGCTAAGCCCGATGCGAGTTCTAGCCCAAAACAGCTGGAGGGTATGCACACCCAAAGTTGTGATTTCCTCAACTTTGGTCCACAGGGCAGTGCCCTTGCAGGAGAACACTGTTAACCTTTGCTTATCAAACAGACTGCTCCTGCTCAAACAGAGCACGCAGGACAACCTTGTCACTCATCTCTGATCAAGCTTTGAATCTGGAGTTGCACAACTCTGAATCTCTGTGAGTCTGGAGAGGGATGGGTGCTCACGTTTGTGACCTGAACGACTTCTCACAAGCGTCACTAAATCTTGCATGCTCTTATTTGGAAGAAAGCCTCACCTCGAGATTAAATATCACTGGGCCGTAAGACAGCCTTTTTCAAAATGTAGGAGGCCTGGAGGGTTTGTTGACAGCAGGGTGAAAAAGCAAAGCGTTTTGCATGCAGCATATAGCACCTTCTTAGCCAATGCAGTTCCGACATCTGCATTCACATTTTCAGTTGTGGGGGCGGACAGACAGACACTTGCAAAAAGAGCTGAACTTTAGAGTAGTTTAAATGAACAGTGCTCCTCCAATATGAGGAAACAAAAAGTATCCAGCCAAGCTTGCTTTATCTACTACACACCTTGCCAGAAAGACCTGATCTGACCCACTGTTCTCTGTTTCAACAGATAAGATGGCAAAGTTCTAGAAGTTAACCCCTTATTAACTTACAAGGTGTCACACAGGGTTGGGGGGGGCAGCAGAGGGATCTTCCGAAAGCATCTCCCAATTGTCATCCTTTTTGTTTTTAAGTCAATAAACAAACAAACAAACAAGCCCACCTCTCTTTACCTTTGGTGAAGCCCCTAATCCTGTTTTTCTAGATGTGATTGCAAATGGCTGTGAGAGGCTGTCAAACTTAACACTGAAGGTATCTTTGCTCAGCCGTTTCCCCCTATTCAGATGAAACAAATCCTCATGCTTTTGACACACACTGAGTCGTTTCAATACTCACATACGAAGGCTTGAAAATTCCTGTCTACCCTTGACTTTTGTCCTGGCATATTCTACCTCTAAACCAGGAACCCCCAACCTGCGGCCCTCCAGATGTTTTGGACTTCAATTCCTATCATCCCTGACCACTGGTCCTGTTAGCTAGGGATCATGGGAGTTGTAAGCCAAAACATCTGGAGGGCTGCAGGTTGGGGATGCCTGCTCTAGGCTGTCTCTCATTTCATTTTTTAAAATTTTATCTACTGATTATTTTGATATCCCTCCGAGGAGAGAAAGACATGGTTGTCTTCCCTCCTCAATTTTATCCTCACACAACAATCCTGTTAGGTGGGATGAGCTGAGAGGTTATTTGGCCCAAGGTTGCAAAGTTGGTCATGGCTGAAGGTCATGGCTGAAGGTGAGGATTTGAAACCTGGCCTCCAAGCATCCTAGTCCAGCAATCTAACCACCATACTATGCAAGGCCACACTGCACATAAAAACATGCAACTTTCCTCTAATTTTCCTCTCTCTCTTCTTTCTACAATCCAAAGCCAGAATCTGGAGTGAGCAATTGGGAGCAGAGGTTGCGGGGGGGGGGGGGTTGCAGAGAGGACAACACTGGGGGGGGGACACACTTAACACTTTCTCTGCTGCCTGTTCTTTCTGCTCCAAAGAAGGCTCCACACATGCACAAACCAGGAACGGTTTCTCCAAGAGAAACAGAGAGGTCCTTTCCAATCTCAGTTTGTAGCACAATCCTATGTGTGTTTACTTGGTAGTAAATCTCATCCTGTTCTGTTGGGTTCATTTCTCCCAGGTAAGTGTGTGCTTAGGACTGCAGGCTCCAATTAGGGGATTAGCCCCCAATTGTGTATTTTGCTTCAAGCCCAAACACCTTAATACAGCCAGGCAAAGACCACATGGCTCTCCTCACCTGCGCAGTAATAACAAACCATATCCTAGGAACTTAACACCATAATGTGTTTTCAAGGCTCAATACCAGCAAGAGAATGATAAGAGATGCTCAACCAGCTCGGGTTAAGAAGTGCTAGTCCTGCAGCAGTAGCTTCAAAACCCACCTTGCCAGTTCCCAAAGGGCACCACGCACAGCAAAATCCAACGCCTTTCGTTTTTCTCATTTATTTTTATTATTACTATGTATCTTTAAAAGATAAACATTCAGCGTAACAAAGAACTTAAACCGGAAGCCTTTCTTTAGCACACACGCCCTTAGGGGATGATCCACCACTCATTTACTCGTGAGCAAGCCCCGCCAAACTTGTTGACGTGACAGGCAACAGGCTGCACTACGAGGGGTGAGTATAGCAACGTTAGCCAAAGTGGGGCCCGCCAGATGTTACTGGAATACACCTCCCATCATCCCTGGCCACGGCAAGTTGCGAGTGCAGCTGTATGTGTAAGGCACCCACCCTGGCTACCGCCGAACACCACAGGCAAATACTATACCGTGGGTGTTTCTGCAAGCAAGTGGAGCCAACTACCTTCCGATGCCCTTTCCGATTCCAACGGGCTAAATGCTTTGCAAAGTCAGAGCGCCGTCAGCGCGCGCGCGCACATTCCTACGCAACCCCCAGCAGGTGGACCCGACGTTGCCCTCGGTCCGTCCCGGGTGCCTTTCACTCAAAGCGATTAAAAGCGCAAGAGCGCCTCTCGGCATGTGAAGAGCGCCTCTGGCGCACAGCCCAGATATAAACCAAAAACAAGGCACAGAACACACGCGCGAAGCGTTTCACGATTTGGGGGGCCAGGGCTGTGCGCTCCACCAGCTCACTATTCCTGCCCCCCCCCCCCGCGCGCCCCGTCTCTTTCTTAGGAAACTTTGCAAGACTTGGCCCTGTTAACCCCTTACCTTCCAGCGCCACCTCCTTGCCCGCCCTCTTGAGCGCTTGCACCGCTTCGTCGTGGGTGGCGTCGCGCAGGTCCGTGCCGTTGACGGCCAGGATGGCATCCCCGACGTAGAGCGCCTGGGTCTGGTCGGCGGCCAGCCCTTTGAAGATCTTGCTGATCAGGATGGGCATCTTGTTCTCCTTGCCCCCCTTGATGCTGATGCCCAGCCCGCCCATCTCCTGCTTCAGCACCTTGACGCACCGCTTCTTGTTGGAGATAGCTTCGGGGACTTGCTCGGGCAGGTCGGTGAAAGCCGTGCGCACCCCGCTCATCAAACCCGATTAGGGCTCATGCCGCCGCCGCCCCCCGACGGCGACTCCGGAGAACCCCCGCCGGAAAGGCTGCAGGCGGCCGAGGCGCCCCCCGACGCCGGACCCAGCGCTGCCCCGCTGCAGAAAGTCCCATTGCCGTTGCTGCCCGACGCCCCGATGCCGTTGTAGGCGGCGGCGGCGGGAGCGCCCCCCTCGTCGGCGCTCAGCACCAGCGCCTCGTCGCTCAGGCTCACCAGCACCCGGTGCCACCGGTCGCGCACCAAAACTTCCAGCGCGCCACTGCGCTGCACCCGGCCGACGCCGCCTCCCCCTCCGGCCGCCGCTACCGCCATCTTTGGAGCATTTCTCGAAGCACCATGTGATCGAGGGCGCGCACAGACAGGCGGACGGGCAAGGGAAGCGAAAGAGGGCGCGCGGAGGAGCGCGCAAGACTTCTCCTCGGCGCCCGAGCGAAAGAGAGAGAGAGAGGCGTCGAGGACGAGGGAGGAGGAGAGGGAGGGACCAGGGAGAGCCCCCGAGAGCTCCCAGCCTTGCAGCGTGGCGAGCCGAGGGGAGGAGCAGTGGGGAGAACCGGGCGGGGGGGGGGAGAAAGGACGGACGGGGCGGGCGGAAGGAGGAAACTCCGGCGCAAGGGCGCAGGAGGCAGCCCGAGTTTGGAGACGGGCGCGCAGCTCGAGACTTCGGAGTTGGGTAAAGCAGAAGGGCTCCCGCGCCGCCGGCCCGGAGAGATCAAGCATTTCCTGGAAGGGCAAAGCTTGTTTTTGTTTCGAGATTCTTGAGGTTTTCAGTTTTGCGTATTTTAGTGTGGGTGAGCCGCTTTGAGACCTAGGCGGTGGAAAGGAGAGAGAGAGAGAGAGAGAGTTAGTTTAACAGAACAAACATAAGTAAATAATAAGCACATAGGAAATGTGGGGCTGCTTTAAAAAAACAGGTCTTATTATTTTTATTATTATTAAGATTATTATTAGACGGAGTTGGGTGCAGCTCGAATGGAAGGCAGAAGAACCTTGCGTGACCTTGACGTTGTTAATCGTGCCTCGGTTTAAGGGCACTCCTGGTCGTGGCTGCTCAGAAGTAAATGCTATTTAGTTTGACGGGGCTTACTCCCAGGTACGTGGGGATAGGATCGAGGACTCGGCTTGCTTCACACTTCGTGAGGTTGTGGGGTAACAGACTCTGCCTTTTCTCTTTTACACATAAAGTACACACTGTTCTGAGCTCCTTGAAGACAGAGTAGGATGTCACCCCGTTAATGTTCTTATATAGGCGAATTCACGGAGGATAAAACTATCCGTTGCCACAAGCGATTGTTGTGTCTGTGTTCTGTCTCCATGACCAAGGCAGCATAGTCCTGAATTCAAGTTCCTGGGAACTGCAAGTGGGGAGAAGGTTGTTGCACTTGGGTTCAGCTTCCCATAGAAGAAGAAGAAGAGCTTGGATTTGATATCCTGCTTTATCACTACCCAAAGGAGTCTCAAAGCGGCTCACAATCTCCTTTCCCTTCCTCCCCCACAACAAACACTCTGTGAGGTGAGTGGGGCTGAGAAACTTCAGAGAAGTGTGACTAGCCCAAGGTCACCCAGCAGCTGCATGTGGAGAGGGGAAGCGAACCCGGTTCACCAGATTACGAGTTCAGCGCTCTTAACCACTATACCACACTGGCTCTGTAGTTGGCTTCTTGAACAACAGGGTGCTGGACTAGATGGTCCTTCATCCCAAAGGCGTACCTGGGTTCCCTTGTTCCCTTGGCTTATCAGCGCCGAGAGAGACCATGGACAAGAAACTTCCCTCACCTGGCCTCCCAGAGCAGTGGAGGAGCAGCCCAGGGAGCAGACAGGTGGGCAGGCAGAGTGGAGAGGTGTGATTTGTGCGACCCCCCCCCTGCCCTCGGGCCTGCACCCTTGACTGGGGCCAACCTGACCAACCCCTAGGTTGGGGTATCCCAAACCTGGGTCTCCAGCTGACCAATGGGGTCCTACTAGCTAGAGATGATGGGAGTTGTAGTCCAAAACAGCCAAGTTTGGGAAACCCTGCCCTAGGTACGCTCTTGCCTTGGCCTGATCCAGCAAAGCTCTTCTCGTGTTTTAAATAATAACAATAATATAGTTCCAGGGAACAACAGTTTGCACGTTATTGTTTTTGTTGGTCTTAACTAATGCACTAATTAGTACCTACCCAACTGTTACTTCTGGATTCTTTTCCCACCGTTGTCATTATTCTTAACTGCCTCAGGTGTCTGGCACTGGCTCCAGAAAACACAGTAAACTTCAGAGTTTGCCAGGCTCCGCCCACAGCTTAGCAGATTCCACTGTCTCACAGTAGAAGCGTTCAAGCAAATGCCCTTATCCTCACACACTGAGCGCTGTCTGAAAATTGGCTACTGGCTGGCAGAGGGCCGGTGCTTCTAGATCAGGGGTCAGCAAACTTTTTCAGCAGGGGGCCGGTCCACTGTCCCTCAGACCTTGTGGGGGCAGCGGACTATATTTGGGGGGGGGGGATGAACAAATTCCTATGCCCCACAAATAACCCAGAGATGCATTTTAAATAAAAGGACACCTTCTACTCATGTAAAAACACGCTGGTTCCTGGACCGTCCACAGGCCAGATTTAGAAGGCAATTGGGCCGGATCCAGCCATCGGGCCGTAGTTTGCCTACCCATGTTCTAAGTGCGCTCTTCTTGCAGGTAGTCACATGCTTGGCCGTCAGAGCCCCAAGTTTTTCCCCTTTTTCCCTAAGGTAGATCTTGTGTTTTGGAGTGTCCAGAAGCTGTCTGAGCACTCTAGTCTAGGCCTTTAGAATAGATTTGCAGAGCCAACCTTAGCACCTGGGCAGCTGCTGCAGCCCCAGAACCCAGCTCTAGAACGCTCTTTAAAAGAATAAAGAATCCGTCCTGATGCTTCGAGCGGCACAAGCTGCCAGTTTAATTTCCCACAGCAGTTTTGCTTCGGGGAATTGTGAGGAATTAATGCAGCAGCCTCCATCCAAATGGCACTACTGCTTGCTATTGTGCACCATTGATACTAGGCAAGTCCACCAGGGCCCAACAGCAGAGGAAGGGCTCATCAGAGGGCATGTTTGCCTAGCCTCCTCAAATGGGGAGCCTGCCCCACAGGGCTGTTTGCATGTGTGAGTGTGCACATAAGCAGAACTTGTACTGTTAGAATATTGAGGCTGGGGTATTATTAATATTCATAATTATAATTATTATTACTACTGTTATATTTATATGTCGCCCACCCGACTGGGTTGCCTCATCTAGTCTGGGCGGCTTCCAGCAAAATATGGAAACACAATAAAAACATCAAATATTAAAAACTTCCCTATAGAGGGCTGCCTTCAGATGTCTTCTAAAAGTCATATAGTTCTTTATTTCCTTGACATCTGGTGGGGTGGGGGGCACTACTACCAAGAAGGCCTCTTGTCTGGTTCCCTATAACTTCACGTCTTGCAATGAGGGAACCACCAGAAGGTCCTCGGAACTGGACCTCAGCTGAAAAATGGGGGTGGAGATGCTTCTTCAGGTATGCAGGGCCGAAGAGGTTTGAGGCTTTAAAGGTCAGTGCCAACACTTTGAATTGTGCTCAGATACCATATGTACCGGGAGCCAATGTAGATCTTTTAGGACCAGTGTTTATATGGTCCCAGCGTCTGCTCCCAGTCACTAGTCTAGCTGCCGCGTTCTGGATTAGTTGTAGTTTTTTGAGTCGCCTTCAAAGGAAGCCCCATGTAGAGCGTGTTGCAGTAGTCAAGATGACCAGTGCCACTCTGGCAAAACAGTCTGCAGGCAGGTAGGGTCTCAGCCAGCGTACCAGGTGGAGCTGGTAAGACAGCTGCCTTGGATTCTAGTTCAGCTGTAGAGAAGAGGTAAAGCGAAGGCTATTCCTACTGTTTTCGTGAGAGTTCAGATCCATCTCAAAGTATTGTAACATAAACTTCAGCCTTCAGCGAATTTTGTTATTGAAAGCCAAACAAGCAATCCTAAAAATAAATGGTTATAACTAAAGTGTTGACATATCCTTAGTTACAGTGACATTCCATCCCTTCCCCTCCAGCCTGATTTGCTCTGCAAGTCTCTTTCAAGCGTTGGTTGCTTCCCAAGGCACCAAGGTGGCAAGTGTTTTTTGTTTCCAGGAGGGGCTTCGGTTTGTTGCATTTTTATATATTTAATCAGCTGCATCTGTTGCTGCATTAAGAGGCACATTGCTTAAAACGACCGGATCAAAGGTTGGGTGGTGCTTGTGACAGCAGCTGTTGAGCAAATTGGAATTCTTAGCATAGTAAGAGAGAGGATGAGAAACAATTCCACATGTCACCGCTTCCTTTGTCCGCCTGTCAAAGGGAAGGCTTGTCCAGAAATCAACGTACCGCTTACTCTGAGCTTGCCTGCTTCACTTTGCAAGAGCAGAAGAGCGAGCCTGAACTTCACCTAGAAGGCAGCTCTCAACAAATTCTAGAGGCCCTTGGTTGACCAAATCATCCAAGGAAGGTTGAGGGACACAGAACCAGAATTTAACTGAGAGTTCCTTGGTGTCGTGAAGGTATGCAAACCTATAAGAACGAGAGCAGCTAGAAGCAAAGTCTCCTGAACCCTTGGCCTACCTGGCTAGTCAGTATGTCAAGTCCAAAGTTAAAAGACCATAGGTCAATCCATGCAAGCAAAGTCGAAGGTCAATCCAAGTGGGCCACGTCTGAAGTCCAGCAGTCAGGATACAGTCCATAGTCCAACACAAAGCTCAGTCCCATAGAGGTCCAGGGGCATCCCGGCCAAGGTCCACCAACATGGGCAGCTGAGCAGATACAGCATCTCTGCTCTGATTGCCACGTCTGGGCTTTATGAGGCAGGTGACCCTCACCTGTTCCAAGCCTACTCAAGCTGAGGAATCACACACCTCCCAGAGCTAGCGAGCCCCACCTGGTCAAATAATGGAACTGGGCTGTGGGCCCTTGCCTGTTCCAGCCTCCTAGAGCAGCGGTTCTCAACCTGTGGGTCCCCAGACGTTGTTGGACTACAACTCCCATCATTACTCTGAGCTCTGGCCTTGCTAGCTAGGGGTGATGGGAGTTGTAGTTCGAGAACATCTGGGGACCCACAGGTTGAGAAAGGCTGTCCTAGAGCATACCTCCCAATGCTCCATGCACCTCAGAGCCTGCCATGTCTATGGAGAAGCCCTGGCTCTCGTGATGGGTCCTGCTGCTCTGGTTCCTGTGCATTGACCTCCATCTCCTTGCCATCCTCTTGTCACCCTGTGAGAAGAAGAAGAGTTTGGATTTGATATCCCGCTTTATCACTACCTGAAGGAGTCTCAAAGCGGCTAGCATTCTCCTTTCCCTTCCTCCCCCACAACAAACACTCTGTGAGGTGAATGGGGCTGAGAGACTTCATAGAAGTGTGACTAGCCCAAGGTCCCCCAGCAGCTGCATGTGGAGGAGCGGAGACGCGAACCCGGTTCACCAGATTACGAGTCTACCGCTCTTAACCACTACACCACACTGGCTCTCTGTGAGTACTTCCTTCCCCTGCAGGGCTCTTCCTATGCCATGTCTCAAACCAGCGCTGGCCGCAA